CTCCCTGCCGCCCCCGGGCTCCTTCGAACCGCCCCTCCCTCCTCCCAAGGCGTGCCTCTACGCCGGCATCAACATCTCCGGCATCAATGGCGAGGTGATGCCCGGACAGTGGGAGTACCAGGTCGGGCCATGCACCGGCATTGCCTCGGGCGACCAGCTGCTGGCCTCGCGCTACCTGCTCATCCGCGTCTGCGAGCAGTACGGCGTGGTCGTCTCCTTCGACCCGAAGCCCATCCCGGGCGACTGGAACGGCGCCGGCTGCCACACAAACGTGTCGACCAAGGCGATGCGCGCCGAGGGCGGATATGACGCTATCCTCAAGGCGATGGAGCGGCTCGGCGCGCCCGGCAAGCAGGAGGAGCACATCGCGGCGTACGACCCCTCTGGTGGCCTCGACAACCAGCGCCGCCTGACGGGCGCGCACGAGACCGCCTCGTACAAGGAGTTCTCTTGGGGCGTCGCGAACCGGGGCTGCTCGGTCCGCATCCCGCGCATGACGGAGAAGGAGAAGAAGGGCTACTTTGAGGACCGCCGGCCCGCCTCCAACATGGACCCGTACATCGTCACGGGCAAGATCATGGAGACGACCGTGCTGCCCGACTGCTAGGCAGCTCCGCCCCTGCGGCGAGCCGTCCCCCTCACGAGCGAGACCCAGCCGCGCGGGCCAAAGAGCCCGCGGGGCCCAGCCGCCCCGAAATGCCAAGCAGCGCGAGCGACAGGGGGCCCGTTGCGATGGCGGCGTGGCCTCGTGAATAGTGCGCGCGCACGCGTCCGCGTTTTGAGGATTGTACTGTATAGGCTGGCTGCGGCCCTGTGGGATGTGACTCTGCACATCCTCCGCGCGCGCGTTTATTATTTGATGCATATAGAGCCGTACGTGTACCCTAAGTTTCTCCGAGACCTCGCGAGCGGGCAGGTATTCACACCTCGGCAGTGTGGTTTGGGCCGGGCAGGGCAGTGTGTGGGTTTCACACCCGGGGCAGGTAGGGGATCGGGCAGGGCAGGGCAGGGCAGTTGTGCGGCAGTACGCGGGCAGGGCAGTACGGCAGGGCAGGGCAGGGCAGTTGGGGTCATAATTGCAGGGCTGAGATTCGGGATCTCAGGTGGTGAAAAAAAAGGGAAAAGGGGATGAGACAATTGCTGTGAACATGGAATTTGAATAACAATCTCAGTGAGATGTGTGAAGAGGACGGCCGATCGACGAATAACAGATGGAAGATGAAAACACACACTCGCCCGCGTCGCGTATGCTTGGTGAGGCGGAGGCTGGAAAGGTATCTTCCTCTCGAGGTATCCAGATCCGAAGTGGGCTCGCTAGGAACGCGCGTATTGAGTTGCCGCGCGCATTAGTTCTGTGCTGCGCCCCTGTCGCGCGCGTTGCGTTCTCGAGAACAGCCAAGCGAGAAGCGTCGCAAAGCCAAAGGGCGCTCGCCAGCCCTCCCATCCCAACCCATGGACGCCGTTGCTCCCATCGGAATCCTCCGCCCCGTTCCCATTGTGCTGGGCCCGCAGCACGTGCTCCAGCCGCCCCCTGTCCGCGCGTGTCCCGGATGCGGGCGCGGCAATGTGGGATGGCACGGCTTCAACCTGAGCACGCTCTGCGCTGACTGCTTAAGCGTGCTTCGGCCGGAGCAGGTGCCGTGCCCCCAGCCGCAAGCCGCATCGCCCTTTCCCGTAGGACGGAGGGACACCGCCTCTGATGCGGCCAGCGCGCCACCTGAGGCACAACATGGCCCCAGACCGCCGAGGGAGCCTGCAGACCCGCCAAGGGTGTCAGCAGACCCGCATCAGCACACCCCTTCTTGCTCAACAGCGCCGGTGGCACCACCTCATGCCAGCTGCATCGTCCCGCCGCCTGCACGGAGTGGAGCCGCCACTCCTGCTGCCGCTGCCGATGTCTCGAGCCAGATCGCTGCACAACAGTTCGGCGTAGCTCGTGCCGGCCTGCAACCCTTCTCCGATCTACCGGCGTCCGCTCCCTCATCGGACACA